GACAGTCTATAAAATATATTATTAAAGCCATCTTTGACATTTTTATTTCAGTTCTGAATTTTTTAGTTGTAGAAATTCCATTTAGTTTATTATAATACTTTTTATTTCTGTGTCAATTCTATCTTTTATTTCCTTGCACATATTAACCATAAGCTTTTTTATTTATTTGTTTGTTTAGGTCAGTTGTTGACACCTCTACTTTCTGGATTCCCTGTAGATGTTTCTATTTTACGTTGTTTCTCTCAGACTGTGATCACTGTATTAGTGTGCTAGGTCTGCCATCACAAAGTATCACAGACTGGGTGGCTTAAAGTACAGAAATTTATCATTTCATAGTCTTGGAGGCTAGAAGTCCAAGATCAAGGTGTTGACAGGTTTGGTTTATTTTAAAGCATTTCTTCTTGTTTTGTCAATGGCCATCTTTTACTGGTGTTTTCACATGGTCTTCCCTCTGTATATGTCTTTGTCCTAATCTCCTCTTCTTGTAAGGACATTACTCATATTGGATTAGGGCCAATCCATATGACCTCATTTTACCTTAATTACCTCTTTATAAATCCTATCCCCAAACACAGTTACATACTGAAGTACTGATATTAAGACTTCAACGTATAAATTTGTGGAGGACACAGTTCAGTCCATAGCAATCACTTTGTCTTATTTTTCATATCTTTGGGTTGTTTGGATTGAGTGATCAATGATGTTTATAATAACTGTAGGACTTATTGGAAACCTAAGATTACATTGCCTTTCTCTAGAGAGGATTTACAGTTGCTTCTGGCATGGGGCCTGTGCATTAGCAATTCTAGATCTCTTTAATCCAATATGTGCTGGAGCTGATTCAAAGCTGTAATTCAGAGCCACTGAGGGCTGGTCTATTTGAATTTCATCCTTATTCCTAATTTGCATTCCTTTTGGATTCCAGCTGAAACTTGCTACTTTACCAGATTCTATTTTTGTGGGGCCCTATATCACAAATTCTGCCCCTCTAAGTCCTTGAATATGTCGAAAGTTTTGTTTTTCAAATCCTCAGCCACTTCGACAGGAATATGCTAATTCTTCTTGAGGAAAAGTGGCTACAAATGCTGGGCCTGCTACAGTGAGTTGCCATCTTCTCTGAGAACTTGACCCAGAAATTATCACTGCTCTATTATTTCTGTTGTCTGAAAGACAACAGTATAGATATGCCTAAATTCATATTTGAACTTCCTGATTGTGTTTTCAATGGACGTGATGATCAAAATTACCTACACTGCTATTACCAGGAACAAATCTCCACAACATTCTTGTTTCTTAACAGCCTCAAACTGGCCATGCCAACAATGATATCTGAGTAAAAAGAATTTTTTCTCAGTTTTAATTTTTCATTGATTTGTAATTCAATGAAATGATTACTTGAGAGCTAGAAGATTAATTCAATAAACTTTTACTATATTACCCCTTTTTGTAACATCCCTGGAAATGTCTGCAATTTAAATATTTTCTTCAAAGATAGATTTTGGCAGTATTTTTAAGAAATAAGCAAAAATTTTAAACACATATATTTTAAATGCTTGATAAGTTAGAAAAATAAGTGACAAGTATATGCTATCTGCATAATAAACAAAGTAGACAAAAGAATTTTCAATTCTGCATGCTCAAAGTCAGTGTTTCTGAAAATAGTCTTTTGGTAGCTTGAAATTTAATGATAAACACTATCAATTATTTTCAATAACTTAAAACAACTTTAAGGTTCTTGTCTGTAATTTTTTTTTGACTTACTATTTTTTTTTAACAATTGGTGAGAAATCAATATTACTTGATTACTTGAATATTTTATTAAACAAATGTGATTAGGTTATTATTTGAACTGTCAAAGTATATACTTGCTTCATATCATTAAAGGAGGAAAAACATGAAAATTTTATTATGGACCTCAAATTTATTAAAGAGTGACGATTAACAAGATAAATTTTATTAATTTTCTATTTCCTATTTAATTTTTTAAAAATATTAACTCAAGATGGAGAATGAACATAAAAGCCAGGCATTATTCTGAAATGCAAATAAGTAGCTTGATGAAGTTCACTATCAGCTCTTTATTTCCGTTTTAACAAGAAGAGGGCTGCATTTTAGCTGAATAGATAGTACACTGCCTCAGACACTGCAATAATTGTTCCTTCAGGCATTTGTCTGTCATATAAGGAAGTATCTAATGAATATGGAATTGCTCTGTATTGTAGGCAAAGACTGTTCCAGAAATACATTACATTATGTCACCTTAAAATTACTTTGAGCACTTTGTGAATTCAAAACTAGTTTTTTTTAATCAAAAGATGTACCTAATAAAAAGAATTATTATTCTGAAATATATCTATTCATCTGAAAATAAAACTTTCAACATAGATTATGACTTAAATAGAAATAAAACAATTACTTGTAAACTTAGGTTAAATAGAATGTAATATTTTAATATTATTAATGGAATTACAGTGTTTTTTTTTAGCAAAATAAACCAGTTAATGGTAGGAAGGGGTAGTGACTAAAAAATTCAATATGCTTCTTATGTGATCTTTGAACATAGGATACTATTTTTCCACTTAGTTTTAAACCAGTATCGTGAAAAATATGCCTTTTACTCCTTTGTTATATACATTCTGTTCAATTGACTAATCCATGTTTTAGTTCATATTTACTTGAGGAAAGAATTTTCTAACAAAAAAATTTGGAAAATGTTTTTTGTATTTGTATGTAAAATATGGTGAGATTAAGAAATGGTTTTGTCTTTAGATTAGACTTAATAATGTTCAATAAAAGAGGATATATGTAGGAATGAAATGATAGGGATGTGTGTCATTTGTTTAAAAGACTCATGCAAGCTAGAATGGTGTTAGATATGGTAGTGTGAGCGGTAGCGGAAAAGGCCTGTCTGTGGCAGGAGGACTTAGGAGAGCTGGTCATGTTCTATTTGTTTTGCCTTGGTGCTGGTTACAGTGTGTTCAGCTTGAGAAAATTCATTTTGCTATATACTTACAATATGTGCACTCTTCTGTATGTACAATTCCATGAAGATTTAAAAATAAATAGAATATGTAAAATAAGTACAATAAATACGGATATTTATTGAAATTTTATGATAATTACAGCTTTATTCACAATAGCCAAGATATGGAAACAACCTAAGTGTCAGTCAACAGATGAATGGATAAAAATATTATGGTACACATATATTATAATATTATAAAATAATAAAATATTATTCAGTCTTTAAAAAAATGGAGATTCTAACTTCTGTGATGTCCACTGGGGATCAGACTTGCTGACTATTTGCTGAAGACATTTTCCCATCAAGGGGTGTGGAAACTGAAATATTCCTCTACCAACAAATGTTTGAAGGTTGCTTTTGTGGACATTAACTCCCCCACATATCTGACCTCCTCCTTTAGTAGACTTAATGTTTTTCTGCAACTAGAGAAAGCCCCTAAGCTGAGGTGTTTGAGGAAGGAAGCCATTCATTCATTTGATAAATTCTTCATTAAAACTACAAGTGACCTCCAGGGTGGACCAAGAAGTTTAAGGTCAGAGCCTTATACAAATGTGACACTTTCTTGTACAGGGATTTAACAAATGTTTGAAATAAATTAATATTACAATCCATTAATAGCTTTTCATTCACACTTTGTGGTTTTGATTTCTTTCATATGAAGTTGATAATAAATGAAATAGGAGTACATAATATCTTGGGTACAGGGATTCTGTATTCTCTTATGATTCTGAATATTTTCTCCAAAGTTTGAAACAAGAATTATCCTACTTTAAAATTTTTACAATGTGTTGAATTCATCTCAGTTTCATTTCTGTTGCTCTAGGCTGAAAATTATATCATAAAATATTTTATTTGTGATTCCATTATTCTCTTTACAGGTCTCTTGTAAGCAATAAGGACAGCTTAACTAACAGAATTCAAAATAACCGAAAGAATACAGCCAAGAAAAATTTTTCTGACTACCAGCTAACATGCTACTCATTTGTGTAGCTTACAAAATAGAAGTAGAAAGATAATTTAAACTGAAATAAGTTTAGAATATAAAATGTGATAATCCCTATTTAAAATGCATGTGACTAATAGGTCATTAAGACAACATTAAGAATGCAACCACTAATAATTCACTAATACAACATTAAGAAATACATGACTCACTATGATATAGATTGAATAGGCTAGCAGGATTGCCCTTTAAAAAACATGCAGATCCAGATAACTATCAAGTGAACTCTTTTGAACTTTTGTGTAATAATTTCTGTGATACTCTGGAGCTTACAAAAGTTACAAGCTTTCCTGTTAACCTAATGATTATGGCACAAAAAATAAAATTCAGACTAATTTTAAATAAGAATGTAAATACAAGAAAATTCTAAATAAATTTATTATTATTATTATTATTTTAAATATATTTTTATTGATTTTTTACAGAGAGGAAGGGAGAGAGATAGAGAGTCAGAAACATCGATGAGAGAGAAACATCGACCAGCCGCCTCCTGCACATCCCCCACCGGGTATGTGCCCGCAACCCAGGTACATGCCCTTGACCGGAATGGAACCTGGGACCTTTCAGTCCGCAGGCCGACGCTCTATCCACTGAGCCAAACCGGTTTTGGCAATAAATTTATTATTAAATTGAGTACTTATTAAAGCCATAACACAGTATTAAAGGTGTGTTTTTGTGAAATACAAAGATATTTCACCATAATAAGGCCTCTGGGACTCAGTTTCCTCATCTATAAAATGAATATTGGTAGGTTTCACCTCACATGATTATTTCAAAGGTTGAATGTGTTAATAAATTTCAATGGCTTAGATATTTTGTTATATAATTTCTCAACAAACATCAGCTATCCATACTAATAGTAATAGCAATTAAATGACTAAATATATTAAAATCCATCAAAGTAGTTTTGGTTAGGATAGATTTATATTTAGAAATCTGTGGTCAGTCTGCTCCGCACTCGGAACCGCCACCATGGCTGCCTACAAGCTGGTGCTGATCAGGCATGGCGAGAGCGCGTGGAACCCGGAGAACTGCTTCAGCGGCTGGTACGATGCGGACCCGAGCCCGACTGGGCACGAGGAGGTGAAGCGCGGCGGGCAGGCGCTGCGAGATGCCGGCTATGAGTTTGACATCTGCTTCACCTCAGTGCAGAAGAGAGCAATTCGGACGCTCTGGACTGTGCTGGATGCCATTGACCAGATGTGGCTGCCTGTAGTGAGGACCTGGCGTCTCAATGAGCGGCACGATGGGGGTGTGACTGGTCTTAACAAAGCAGAAACTGCTGCCAAGCATGGCGAGGCCCAGGTAAAGATCTGGAGGCGCTCTTACCATATCCCACCACCACCGATGGAGCCCGACCATCCCTTCTACAGCAACATCAGTAAGGATCTCAGGTATGCAGACCTCACTGAAGATCAGCTACCCTCCTGTGAGAGTCTGAAGGACACTATTGCCAGAGCTCTGCCCTTTTGGAATGAAGAAATAGTGCCCCAGATTAAGGAGGGGAAACGGGTATCAATTGCAGCCCATGGCAACAGCCTTCGGGGCCTTGTCAAACATCTGGAAGGTCCTTCTGAAGAGGCTAGCCTGGAGCTGAACCTGCCGACTGGTATTCCCATTGTCTATGAATTAGACAAGAACTTGAAGCCCATCAAGCCCATGCAGTTCCTGGGGGATGAAGAGACCGTGCGCAAAGCCATGGAGGCTGTGGCTGCCCAGGGCAAGGCCAAGAAGTGAAAGCCAGCAGGCAGACGACTTTCCCAAGGATACCCTCCCTCCCATCCCATTCCTCTGCATCTCTCCTGTGCACATGTCACACTGACCACATCTGTGGGCATCTTAGGTTGTAGCTGCGGATGGGGACTGGTGGTTCCCACTTTTGTGTTAGCCATTTTGTCTCCCACACCCACTCCCTTCATGCAGTCTAGTCAGAATGGCCCTTCTGGGTCACGGGTCCTCAGTCTAAGCCAAGGGAGACTCTTATCTAAGAGTCCAGAGGCAATAACTCTTGTTTTTTTTTTTGCTATTGTTTTGTTTATTACTAAGGACCTGCTTGAAAGTAGGGGAGTAAGGAGGAGCCATGTTAAGGCGTGACCAATGAGAGGCAAGAGAACCTCTGTGTTCCTGAGAGCAGTGCTGTGCTATTCTGCAGTCAGATGAACTGACTGGGGGCTCCAGTCATTCTAGTGGAAGATGAATGCCTGGTGATTCAAACAAACATTTCCTCCTTGACCCCAGAAAAGCTGGCTCTAGAAGATCGGGATCAATCCTGAATGTTTACATGTTGCATTTACTTTAAAAAAAAAAAAAAGCCTATCTATATAAAATAATACAAAACAAAAACCCTTCTGGGGTTTTCAGTGGCGGTTGAACTATTCCCACATGTGGCCATCACAAAATAAGCCATTCCTCACACCAAGGTGGGATGAGCTCCTTGACTTGTAGGAGTTATCCTGCTGTGTTTTAGAATCCCTCCCCGGCATTGGCATTATTGTCTCTTGGCAGTGAAATGTCTCTTGATCATGTCCAGGTGTGTCTTTTACTGTGTGAGTTCTGAATCATGTTCCAGTTGCTTGGCCCTGCCACATGGGCCCATTTTGAGCATAACTACTAAGTCTTTTTCAGATCAGTATAATAAAGGAGTGATGTGCAATTAAAAAAAAAAAAAGAAAGAAAGAAATCTGTGTCTACCAATGAGCTTAACCTCTATAGATCTCAGCTTTTTCCAAATGCAAGGCATAATGATATCTTTCTCCTAGCTTTAGTGAGATGATTAAATGACATAATACTTAGCATGTTGCCTAGTACATTATATGTTTTCATGGTTATTGTCATTGTCATTTGTAATTTTATGTGTCAATTCAACTGGGCTATGATATTCATTTCTGAGTGTGTCCGTGAGGGTGCTTGTGGAAGAGATTAGTATTGAACCTGCAACTGAGTAAAGAAGATGCCCTCACCAATGTAGGCGGGCATCATCCAATCCACTGAGGATCTAGACAGAACAGAGGTAGAGGAAGGGTGCATTTGCTTTCTTTCTTTGAGCTGGTACATCCATCTTCTCCTGTCCTTGGACACTAGAGCTCCTGCTTCTGGAGCCTTAGAACTTGAACTGAGACTTACACCATCAAATTCCCTGGTTCTTAGGTCTTCAGACTTGGACTGAAGTATACCACTGTCATTCCTGGTTCTCCAGCTTATAGTTATTAGATTGTGAGACTTCTTGATCTGCATAATCATATGAACCAATGCCTAAAATAGTCATCTTCTCAAGTATACCCATATATATCTTAGTGGTTCTGTTTCTCTGGAGAACCTTAATATAAAAACTAAACTAATTTTAAAAATAATTATAAAATTAGTATAATTTATGCCCTAAAGGCATTTTGCTAAACTCATTAGTCATGCAGAATTTGTGAATTAGGGGGGAGAAAAACCAAGAAAAACATCAAAAATAAGAAACAACACAAACAAACCTTTTATTAAAATAGGAATTGAATATTCACTTGTAAACAACACACAATGGCATTTGGAACTGTGAAATACTAAAAACTTTTCAATTTAAATCTTCCAATTATAATGGAAGTTTCAGCCATTGAAATCTCACAAATAGGGAGAAGTGGAGACTCATAGCACTGGAAAGAAGCAATCAAAATTATCATCACTAGCAGATTATATGATTGCTCACTCACTGATAATCTCAAGACAATCAAACAAAGAGAAAAACAGACCTATTATGCAATTTCTTCTGCTTATGAAATGAGTACACCAAAATTAAATCACTTTCCTACATACCAACAAAAATCAATTAAAAAATATAATTTTTCAAAATGTCTCATTCTAGTAATGAGGTATAATTTTACAAAAGTGTACCTGATATACACAACTATGAAATGAACTTGAAAAAAAAAACCTAAATAAATTCAGAAACAATCCATGTTCCTTAGTGTATGTAAATTGTTTTCTTAACTGAATTCATTGCCATACCCAATAGATCTCCTGACTATAGCCTCTTCTCCCCTGGGATAGTCATTCTCTCTCTCTCTCTCCCTCTTCCTCTAATATTTCTCTATTACTCTGAGTTTTCTAGGGTTTTCCCCTTGCACTGAGAATAAAATACTGGCCTACATAGGGTTTTCTCATGAGTTGGTCTCTAACTACTTCTCATAATTCCTTCTTCTTGTTCCTTTAATGCATTATATTTCAAGAACCCCTGTTTTTCCCTTTGCCTGTAGTTCTCTCCTCACCTCTTTACCTGGTGGACCTTTTATCCTTCAAGTCTATCTGAAAATCAATTTCCTGATGATATTATCTAATCTAATTACCAAGCCTTTTATATTCTATCACATCACTTTTTTAAGGAACTTATTGAAATCTGAAAGTATCCTTATTGTTTGCTTATGTGTTTATTGTTCATTATTCTGTCTCCTGTCATTAAAATGTAAACTTTTGAAATAAAGCCAGTGCCCCCAAAAGGGAGCTTGGTTAAATGATTACATTGCATCAACACTGGGGTGCTATTCAATTATTTTAAAATGTTGTTGAAGATGATCACTCAATACCATGGAAAGATGGCACACTATATTGAATGAAGTAAAGGAGGATACAAAACAGGTAAAGAAACATGCCATTCAAAATGTCTTTAATAGTTATCTCTAGGCCTAACTAAGAGATTTATTGTCTCAAGGCAAGAGAGTTAGGGTACATGCTTGCTTTAGGCTTTTTAGATAGAGAAAATATTTGCTTATTATTTTTAGCAATACTTCTGCATGTCAAAAGCCAGGCTTTTGCATTTAATATGATGCTTGGCCCATTAAAGAGTTATGGAATAAACTTACTATGGTCAGACCATAATTTTTGCAAATAAAATAATATGAAAGAGCCCAGCTAGGCATGGCTCAATGGTTGAGCATCAACCTATGAACCAGGAGGTCAGGGTTTGATTCCTGGTCAGGGCACCAGTCAGGCTCCATCCCCAGTGTGGGGCAAGCAAGAGGCAGCTGGTTGATGCTTCTCTCTCATCATTGGTGTTTCTACTTTTCTCTCCTTTTTTCTTCCTCTCTGAAATCAATAAAAATATATCTATAAAAATAATAATATGGAAAATAATGGACTGGAATAGAAAAGAACACATTAAAAATTTATGTGTGTAAAGATCTTTATTTATAAAAAAAGTGTTCTGAAAATAAAGTTTGAAAACTGTTGCTCTACTTAAAGGGGGCATGCAGGAAAAAGAGGCAAATTCCCCTCTTCTGATCATAGGAGAGTTTAAAATAAAGAAGAAGAAAGAAAGAAAGGCAAGAGGAAAAGTGAGACGTTGCCTGTTTTCCTTTTTTAGGCTTGTGCTAAATAAAGGCCTGTTCATCAGATACAGGCAGGAGAACACTGAGAACAGAAAACTTCTTTGATTCTTCTCTTGGACATCCCAGGCTTCCCATGTCTACATGAGCATGAGGATTCGCTGCATCAAGTCTAGTTTTCCTGATTCTTTCTGGTTTCCTGAGAAAGGGCACCATCACCTATATTTTAACAAACAATATTCCATTTAACTTGCACAATATTCTGCTGAGTAAGTAGTATATTGCACAGATGTGGAAAGTCACACACTACTGAGGTTATTTGATTTATCCAAGCTCTCGGGAAGTGTGATTCCATATATTGAGAAAACTTCCTAAAGGCTAATGGATAGGGGTTTCATAGGCCTCAGTTAAATGGCCTTTGTATAGACTTTTGTCCAAGGGACAAGTGTGAGTTCTTCCACTTGCTTCTTAGGACTGCTGTAACAAAGTACCACAACTGGGTGGCTTATAACAAGATACATTTATTCTCTTACACTTACGGAAACTGGAAGTCCGAAAGGAAGTTGTCAGCAGGGCCGTGCTCCCTCTGAAGGCATTAGGAGAGAATCTGTCCCTTGCCTTTCTCTTGGCCCTTGGTATTGGCAGCAATCCCTGGTGTTCTTTAACTTGTAGAGGAGTGTTTCCAGTCTCTGCCTGTTGGCACAGGGTGCCTTCTCCTTTTCTTCTAAGGACATCAGTCATATTGAATTAAGGGCCCACCTTACTCCAATATAATCTCTTCTTAACTAATAACATCTGCTATTTCCAAACAAAGCCAAGTTCTGAGACTCACAGAAGGACATGAATTGGGAAGGGGTTGAGAGACATTACCCAACCCAGTACAGCTCCCTGTATTTCTCTCCTCTTAGCTCGTCTGTCACGTTATAATAATTTTGCTTGTTAACCCACATCAGATGACTCAGCCCCACAGTATATTTTTGTATGGCTGCTCTTATTTTACTTGCCAGTTTGATGACACACTAGGATACTTGCCTCTTCATAATTTCCTGCCTACAATATATTTTCTCTCTCTTTTAAGGTGTTTCTCATTTATTCCCTCTGAACCCCCATCCCACACAACTGCGCCCCATCCCCACCAAACCAAGCATTCCTTTGGATCTTCTCTGGAGCTTTCAATATCTGTAGAATGTTTTGCTCTCTGGGTAACCCCCAAAAAGGCAGAACCTGGTCCTTCCCTCTTACTAACTTATTTATAGAGGGTTGGGCTATGCAGCTCTAACTTATATTTGAAATATGATCTTATTCAGTGTTCCTGATTTCCTGTAATTCTTGCTGCTCTGGGGTTCTACACATACGAAAGTTGAACATCTCTTCTGGGAAAGGGCGTAAGATGGGAAAAAAGAGGCGTCAGGCATTTGAGAAAATAAAGGTTTCTGGGGAATTCCCAGA